GTATTTTTTAAAGTTTGCCGATTTTCCCCATATTACCCCAAAAGCGGCGTAGCCGGGAGTTCTTTGCTAGTTATAATTAAACTAATTTGTAAATGAGTAGAAAATTACATAGTCTATTAAAATGCTAACAAAATCACTTTTTTTTTTTTTTTTTTTTTTGCAAAAACACACTTCATAATAGGGATGTTATTTGGTCTACCGGACCACAACTAAATAAGCTTCAGACTAAGAACCGAATACAACTATCCGGTTCCAACCGGTTCGTTTCGGCTCTATTAAAAAAATGTGTTATCTAAGAAGGTGTTCAGAACTGGAACCGGACCGGATCCAAAAGAACCGAAAACCGAATAATCCTTAAACTAAGAAACGGGAACCGAATAGCTTAATCTTAATCGATCCTTATTCGGTTCCAGTTCCGGTTCGGTTTTCGGCCCAAACACTCATCCCTGCTTCATAATACTTGTTTAATAAAGGGCTATGCCATAAAAACCCTTAAGTTTGTTAGTTTTTATTGGTGTTACCCAAAATAGTATTTTAGGACCATTAATGTCTCAAATTTGCAAAAAAAAAAAAAAAAAAAATCAATTTTATCATTTTCGCAAATTTATCCGGTAAAACTGAAAATTTCTTCCAAACTTAAGGGCTTTAATAAACCAGAAAACCAAACTTAAGGGCTTTTATGAACCAGAAAAAAAATGGTAAAACCGAACATTTCTGTCAAACGTAAGGGCTTTAATAAACCAGAGGGTAAAATCGAAAAGAAAAGGTTGCAATTTTGAGGCATTAATGGACCTAAAATACGACTTTGGGTAAAACCGACAGAAATTTACAAACTTAAAGGTTTTTATGTCATTACCCCTTTAATAAATAATTAAAAGATATAATCTATATCAACCATATATATTGAATTGCAGTCTGCATAAAACTATTAAATGATTTTTGTTTCTTTTAAATCCAGCTACAAAATTCTTATATTGCAGTCTTCACTTAAGGGCTTCTACCTCTCCCGGTAAGTCTACAAAAGCCTGGAAACAAAATCTATGGAGCCGACCCGGATTCTGACCGTGAACCTGAATCCTCTGAATCTGAAGCATCAACCATCTTTTCTAGTGAATCCATATCACCTGCTTCAGCCACTGTATGCATCCGAAGCTTTTCTGCATCCTCGCTGCCAATTTCAACCAAAACTACTGTTAACCAATTTATCAGAGCATTTAATACTTGATTTTTTAACTTTACAAAAACAAAAAAAAAAAAAAAACCATTCTACTGCCTTGAAGTACAATATTTTTTGAGATTTTTTTTCTTAAAGAAGTAACTCTTTCTGAAAGGAATGATTAGATGCTTACTCTGCAACACCAAAGATTTCTTTCACTATCAAGGAGCTGTCTCTTCCACAGAACTCTGGGAGCTGGAGTGGTGCATGTTGGAAAGTCAACACAAATCAACATAAACACTGTTTAGAAATATATACATATAATGAACTAAAACTCAATTCCTTCAATTAAAATGCCCTTTACTAGATCAAAATCAATGCTATCACCAATTCAGTATCTTTTGGAGATTGCTAATGGTAAAAAAAATATGCATTTTTTGGACTACTATGCTAATGGAAATGACATCTAGAAGCATGTTCAAAAAATTCTTCAAACTGCAGAATAAAACATCACTTGATTCTAATATTGCCTTGGTTTTATTTTTACCTCTGAAAGATAGAAAATCTTTCCAAAAAGTGCTTGAACAGCAAGCTTTCTCCTTAAGCCCTTTTCAGAATATCCCGATGTATTCATCACAACTGGACCTGAAACATGGAAGAAATCATTTTTGAGCAACCAAAAACCTCCTCTAATTATATGCATACATTCACCACATAGAAGTATTGTGTTTGTTTAAAACATAAGCATGTCTGTTTTGTACCTTTATCTTTAACAATTCTCCTTGAGATATCATTAAGAATTTCAGCCACTTGGGAATCATCCAACATTGTTGTTTTTCTGAGTTGAATCAATGCTGCAACCAGTTTTGGGTTGAAAGGCTTTTCATTTAATGCATATCGGATGTATTTTCGCAAAATCTCCACCATGCTGAAGCCTGTCTGCATACAGAATAAAATGATATCAAAAACCATTGTCTTTACAAAAACTTTAATCAATGAATAAACTAGCAGAAGAGGTTGAATTTAGAAAACAAAGATACATGTAATTAAGACCAAAGTTTTCCATATTGTAAAGTCAAAAGTTAAATGTATATCATTATCACCTTCTGCATCAGTCCCATCAAAGCTTCCTGCTGTACTCCATTGCCCTCTTTCTCAAGTAACTCATCTACGGACCTGCATAGATCTGCATTTTTATTGACCTGAAAAGCATCAAATAATGTTTAGCAAGTTTCTTGTCAAAGGCAATAAATCTTCATCACATACTTTTTAGTCTTGCCAATTCTACATAGATGGAAAGCATTCTACATACTCTTTCCACCCAAAAATGCTACAGTTCTATTTTGAGTAACATAATACATCCTTTTTTTAGAGGATCCCTTTTATTGCCCAATAACAATCACTACAAAAGATGAGTGACAGTCCCAATTTCCAAATTATTTAAGGTCAAAATAACCAAATTTGGAGACACACTAAAGAAGTAGCAACAGAAAACTATATATTGAGACAAATGTAACATTACTATACTATTCCAAACTTTAAATCAAATTACTAATCAATTCCAATTCCAATTATTCAAGTAAGAATAATCACTTCAAATGCACACAACCGAACAACCCCTAAATATGTTCACTCTACACATTAAATGTAAGAATTTTGAGATGAGTTCTTTCTTAATTGACTGGGTGTTAGACTTATTTCATATATATGTAGACATGTATGAAAATACCCTCTTATTCTCAAACTTTTGGAGATTCAAATCCAACACTAACATAACATCATTGAATCTTGTTTGTATAGGCATATGTCCAAAAAGTTCGTCGTTTTGACTTTTTGAGGAGTTGTAAGCAGCTTAAACGGATGCACACAAAGTAAAGTAACAAAGAACAAATTCAAAGCAAGACTGTAATGAAAGTGAAATTGATGCACTAAATCAAACAAGAAAAAAAAAGGAGATATAGAGAAAGCCGGACTCACTAGCTTACGGCGAACTTCTTTGGGTGAAGTGAAGTTGCGAATGGTCTTGACAACCGCAAAAACAAAGGAGACTCCAACATAAGCCAAAGGGACAGCCAGAATCCATGGAAAGGAAGTTTGGCCGACTCTTGGACCAGGAAGTGCCTGTGTTACTGAGCCACTAAACTCGACAATGTCCAGAGCTTTCTCTTGTATCCATGGCAAATCCTCCTCGACTTCCTCCAGCTCATCCTCCTCCTTCTTCTCTGATTCTTTAGGGTTTGTATTATTCCTCGCTGCTGCTGCGGTGGACGAAACCAATCGACAACGACGAGAGGAAGTTGATAATAAGGGAGAGAAGGGCGCGTGGAAGGTAGTCAATTTCAATTGGGAAGATAGGCAATCCGTTGTTGTACTGGTGGTCGGGATTTTACTGAGTATTGACTTCGATGTTGGCTTTGGTGTCAGCGGCGATGGATGACTGTTGGTGGACGAGACAGCATAATGATACCCAAAAGCACTAGACATTGCCCCTTTCTCAGGATTTCGTTTATATGAAAGATAGGTTTAATTATCTTGTTCCTCCGATAATTATTGCAGCTAGTGTGTTTGCCAATACTCTCGCGGTGGCGATGGTTGGATACGGTGGTGCTACTGCTGCTGCTGAGCTGCAAGAATTGGATTTTGGCTTTTGGGCGTTACAACTTACGATTTACGAACACTGCTTTTGCCGTTTGGGCTTTTCTTTATGCATCAGGAAAAAGTTACTTATGGGCCGTCTATCCACTACTTACCGGTGACTAGACTAGACCACTACGAATATTCAATTACATGTACACAAAATTGCAAAAATGTCCGGTATGCATTTTTTTGGGGTTTTAATCCAAACCCCGATTTTTTTGGATTAGTGGTCCTTTTGAGCTAGTTTCATTGCGTTTTTGTCCCTAGAAACAGTGAAATGACTGTAATACCCTTGGGGTATTTATTTTCCATTTTTCTTTCATTTCTTTTTAAATCTAATA